TAACCTCAGCCCAGCATGAAGGATCGCTGTGTTAAGTGCCACACACCCCAGTGGAGGATTACTAGCTCAATCAGAGGAAGATGGGATCACTAACTCTACCGAACTAAGAATGCCATACTTGACCCTAATACTAGCCAACATACCCCCCGTGACTACCAACCTAAAGGAATCAGCCCCCTACTTCGAATTCCTAGCTGCCTGTGACCTCTCCTTCCTTATCTTTCTCCGCTGTTCCATGCTCCTAGGAGAGTTGGATAGACAAGGAAAGAAGGACGAGATTGGGACAGGAGTTAATACTTCCTGACAATCTAAACTGGTGGAGGAGGGAGTGGCAGGTGAAGAAGAAGAATTTTCTTGGTTATTACCCCAGGATCGTACCTGGGATTCGTCCGAACTCATATTAAAAATCTAGTAAATAATGTATATTAAACATAGTAATAGTGAAAGGTATTCTCGAAAAAAAAAGGGAATACCTGAATAAAAGCTCGACCTCACTCAGAAAGAAGGACGGAGAAGAAAAATTTTTAGAGAGCAAAACTATTCTTTCAAAAATACGAAGACAGTAAAAAGTGAGAAAGAAATAGGCTATTTAAAGAGATGGAATACCAAGGGCCTTGATCTCAACCGTACAAAGTAAAGGCAATAAATGAGTGAACGATTGGAATTAAATGCTTCTAAGAGAAGAAACCTCACTGCTTCACAGCCTGCATCCGAGTCACACGGTGACACGTGTCCCCAGCATTTACTAAAGCAATCATTACAGAAATTCGAAAATTGTGCCAAGAGAAGGTCAATCCCTCACCTGATCAGCATTGACCTGGGGGGTAAATGTTGACATTGACCTCCGAGGTGATTAAGGTCGGATCAGTCCACATCATGTGTAATTAATATGTTGAGATCGGGGGTAACAACTGGATTCGACCTCCGAGGTAATTAAGGTCGGATCGGTCTTTGTCATGAGTAGATAACATGTCGAGCTCGAATAAATAAGGTCAGGTCGGATATAGATGCCTTCTGGGGAAAGTTTGTGTAATCTCCCAAGGCATAAGATATTGTAATGATGAAGAATCTCTGACAGGACATACGAGCAACCAATTATGGAGATGCACCTGGAAAGGTCTTACATCATCACTCCCATAATCCTCCAATTAAAAGTGTTAGATGCCTCCTCTAAGTAATGCATTAATTACTGGGGGCCACCTACCATTAATATTTTGAAGAGCTCTGACAAGATCCAGTTCGAAAACCAATCCCGTCGCACCAATCAT